AATTTTCCTCTTAGGGGGAAGTGTCAAGAAGGAATTTGCTGATTTGAGGAAAAAAAAATACCTTCCCATTTGTGAAAATGTTTTTTTCTCCATCATTTTTTAAATACAGAGGTTCCCTAGCAGTTACATATCTCTTTTCATAGAATTTCCTTCATCTGCAGCTGAAAGATGAAATTAGGTACTTTTCTGTTTGGTGTTTCATGGAGACTAGAAACTTTAATTATTGGCAAGCTTTAGTTTTGAGCCTATGGTAATTGAGTGTTGGCTGCCACAGAACTTTGATTTCAGTGAAGAGAGTGTATCCGCCCTTCTCTCGCTAGCACTTACCATTCTGTTACCTGGTGGTTGAAGGATTTGATTTGCTTTTCCTGCTGAGAAGGTAGTCAGCATCTGCTGTAAGTCTTTTATCATCTCTCAAGAATAGTGCAGGGTTTTTACTCTTTATTCTGGTTGTTGGATGGGCTTGAATGTGAAGTTGAAAGTGAGCTCTTTTGTTTAATTGAAAAGTATTATATGACTTAGTAACAGGGATGTAAACAAGATGGCAAACATGCTAGTGCCAACAATGGATTCTTGAAATGTTGAAGAATACTTCAGAATAAGGAACTTGTAAATAAAGAATCGCCTCTGAACTAGAAGAAAACAAAGAACATAGAGAGAATGAGTAGTCTGGTTTTGCTGCAGTTCTCTGGCAAGTTTATTGCCAAAAAGGGAAAGCAAAGTACACAGCACTGTACTGTAAGCAGGCACAAATCCTAACACAGGAGTATGTCGCTCTGAGCAACAGAGCAAGGGTGCTCTTCTAGAGGAAAAGGCATTACTTTTAAAATAGGTGAGGCAATCACAACCATAACGGATGCAAAACAGCCTGCACGCTAGTACTTGCAGCTGTAAAAGTACACAGGAATTACAAGCCTTGGACAGCTTGTTGCCATTTTGAATATGCATATTATTTGGTATGACCTAACTACAAGGCATGAAACCCACAGTGACTGTCAGAGCAAGGAATGGTTACTTCATCAGATTATGTTGTTTGTTGTTTCAACAAAAAGATGCATTGTGATATAAGCAGTGATCCCAAAATTATAAAAGACAGCTGTGTTCCAGGAACCTGGATGACATGTGACTTTATTAGAAAGACAAGCATGTAACAGAGAAGTAGGAAAGTGCCAACTACAGAAAATAATCACAAGCACTGCTTCCATACCTTCACTTAAGTTGACATATTGTGCCTCCAGGAAAACACGTTCTGCTGTTACATGGAGGCTACATTTTTGTAGGACATGGGATGCAACGTTTGATGTTTGAAAAATAAGCAACAGAACACTGAATGAATTAATTAACAGTTGCCCAAAAGTTTTAATAACGGTTTACCGTGTTTAGAATGTGGCCTTGCAAACAGTATGTCTGTGTGAAATGCAGCATGGAAAGAAAGCAAAATATGCAAAAGCAGAGCCGAGCAGGCCCCAGCACAGATGTGCCTGGCTGCTGTCTGGTCTGTCAGCTGAAGAGCTTCCTCTGCTAACATTGCCTGGCTCTGAGCTTCCCTGGAGATCCTGTCATTCTTGCAGCACAGTCACATGGCAGGAAGTGAAAAGGTTTTTTGTAAGAACAGCAAAAAGGGACAGGCTTTCTCTGCTGGAACAATTTATCTGGCCTTCAGCCTCTTCCCTGCTGTCTCTCAAGAAGCATCCAGGGAAGTAACAGGGCTTGGAGCAGATATGTTACTTGCTGTAGCAGGTGCCACCTCAGACTGCCCAGCTCCCGTGGTTGGTGGCATCATTAGTGGGGCAGGTGTTCCAAGGCAGACCTGACCCTCCCAGAGCAGAGCGACCCGAGTCTTCCCTTTCTGCATACATGGACACTCAGCAGAGTGCCATGCATGCAGAGCAGGCCAGGGCACACAATCCAGAGGTAAGGGAATTGAATACTTGTAACCAGTAGATTACTTATTAAGGGACTAGGCAATATTGCTTTGTCTTTTTCTGGTCACACTTTGGGAAACAGAGCTGACATATGTGATAGGCTCCAGAGGCAGGTTCAGACTTAATAAAACCCAGATCCTATTTTTTAGGTAACTTAATTTCCTATATATTGTTGAGGTGCTTTGAGGGCTCCAGTGGCTAGCACAGAAATTGGGTGTTACAGTGCTGTGCTCAGACTCTTGCTCTGGAGCTAGAAGGCATCACAGGTTGAGAGGCAAGCTTTTATACTCAGGCTTCTTATTCTTTTGTTTAATTTCATTCAACAGCTTCTAATTATACCCTTTGTACAACCTTAAATAATTTCTCCCTATGTATGGTTTATGAGTCTTGCAGATATTTATGTATCTTCAACACTGCAGTTCAAGGCCACTCCATTGGTAGAGGGAGGAGGAATCAAAGTTGTCTAAGGATCTTATGTAAGCACTCATATTTAAAGAACAGACTTATGTCTAGACAGTTTTCTGTAACTGGTGAGACTGATATTTTCCTCAGCTGCTGCAGTTTCCCAACAGCTGGGAATTGGAACATAATGCATTATTGGAACATAATGCTCTTCTAAGCACAACTTTCTGATTTCTAAATATCGATGGTGTAACTATTTTTACAGTTTATACTGGCAACAGCTCTGAACCACAGCAGAACTTGTCTGCAGTCCAGGTGGGTACTTGACTCAGTAACAGCTCTAAAGCCTGCAACCACGCTCTCCTCCTTGATGGTTATGGTAGAATTTCCTTTGGGATTCTCAGTAGTCTCTGGGAGTCTCAGTATTCCTTGCAATCTTTCAGAGCTGCTCTTCTGAATCAAAGGAATTCCCTGAATGCAAACAGAGGTGTTTCTGCATGTGCTTCTCCAATTAAAATTTAATCTCCTATGTGTTGAATGAGCCTGAGATATTTAATGCTCTTTATTTTTCAGCAGAGCATTAATTTAAAGTGTTTTGTGACATTATCCTTCCAGTCTAATAGCAAATCAGATTTTTCTTAATTCTGCATTTTTATTTGCTATTCAAGATTTAGTGAAAAGGCAAGTAATTGTGTTCTAAAGCATCAGTGAATGCTTTAGATAGCTGCTGATAGCTGCCTGAATCAATCTGGCTCATGTATCCTGACCAGGAATGACCAGGGCAAAT